CCCCTCCTGCAGCTATCCTCAATCCATCTAGTTTTTTTCCTCCTACAGTAATCTTTGATCCTTGTTCTTTCAGTTCATTTCTTTCCTTTTTGGCTTTACTCCTTCCTACTCAGCTCTCCCATCATCCCTTATCTCTTTCTGTGTTTTTCTCTCCAGATTCATCCTCCTTCTGTGTCACTGTTGTGCCCCTTTATACGTCTCTAAATCCCCCCTCCAAATATCCTGTTCACTCAGCTTGGTTCCTCTTGTGTTCCTCACAGAAAGCCCACAAACGCTTTTATTTGTCAGTATCTGTTGGTGTCTCCCGTCATCAGCAAAATTAAAATATACACGTGCATACATGAGCTGTGTAATACCGTATGCGTATAGATAGATGATTGCAAGCCTGGAAAACATTTCATCTTTTTTTTTATTTACAACACACTGCAGTAAATGCCCTGTGCATGACAGACCCTCCCACCACACTGTTTACAATCCTGCTTGATTGGTTAATATTACAAGGCTCCTGCCTTCACCAGCACATCCCGAACAGCCAGCAGGCAGCTCTAAATCATGGGAAGGTTTGCCAATAAACAGGCAGTCCCTTTAAAAAACACTGAAAATGTTTCCACTGTGCGTTACATCAAAATCTCACAATTTTAATTCTAATGAATCCACACTGAGCACAATGCCTCCACATCAATATATATGACAATCTTCAAAACGATGTGAGTCTTGGCAGGGACCAATACAATCCCTCCAGCACCATTCAAGTGAACGCCCTTGAAATTTGATTTGTGCATGCACTGGTGAGCAACTGATGGTGGTGATGATGATGATGAAAGGAGGGGGGGAGTGGGGGAGATGAGTAATATCAGTTAATCCACACAGTGCGGTGGCAGCGGGCCTAAGGATGAAGTGGCCCGCAGCTCTATGATCAATTTACCAGCCTTAAAGCTCCATTGTGGCTCTAAAGAGCTTCCAAACTTACATCGATTGGAAAAATCCTGCACTGAGGAACTGTGCCAATGAGCAGTACATATACTGTACAAGATGGACCCACAAGAAAGTCCGACACCTTGTGCTATCAATAAGACTGTGTGTGAAAATGTAAGTCTCATTTGAGGAGTAATACTGTTCAAATGGAGGCCTGTTAAGAAGCAAAAGTTTGATTTGAGTTAAAAATCAATGTTTGTTTGCATTTATTGCATACCACAGCGTCTCTTTCTATTTCATGCTTCACATTGCTGCTACTGTGGAACTCCTGCAGGGTACAAAGCAGATTTTCTTCCCTTGAGCATGACCAGTGTACATCTGTGGTCACTGTTTACCAAATGCACCACGCCAGAGTTGAGGCATGAGTGCACAGTCTCATTTCCATTTTAATTTCCTGGCACGCCGTCTTCCTCAGCAGCTGAGGACCTTGATGAAGGCCCGTCTGAACTCGATGTTGAAGGTGGTGTAGATAATAGGGTTGAGGGCACTGTTGACATACCCCAGCCAGGTGAAAGCACTGTAAAGCCCAGGAGGCACGTAGCATGTCCTGCAGTGGGTGTTCAGAATGTGAGTCACAAAGAAAGGCAGCCAGCAGATGAGAAACACCCCTGGAGCAGCCAGAGAACAGGGAGGTATGGAGAAAGGACGAAACCAAAAACACAAGAGCAAAGTTGTAAAGAATGCATTAAACATGTTTGTAAGCTGAAAACATTAGTGGTTAACTAGCTTACTAATAACAGTAGCAACCAAGCGTTACTTCTAAAGTTAGATAATAATTATTACGTGGGGTTATGTCAGACCGGGAGCTATATCAGTGTTTAGAGCGATACTTCATATATTAAGTATTTTGAAGGATGGCCCCAAACCACAAACACTGAGAGCAAAATTGTGTATACAAAGAAGATTAAACTGTGTGTTTGTCTGCTGCTAACTAACAACAATAACCAAGGCCTACTTCCAAAGCCGACTCAGCTAATAATGTATAATAATAAATGCAGTCATTAGCTGACTAAATGTATTTCAATAATGGCTCATTCATGTTCTTTATTTAGTTTGGGGAAGTTTACACTTTAGCAACTTAAGAAAAAAAACAACCTAAAAGCCTCTTTTTATCAAGGTGAAACATACTGTTTTTAATTTAGGCCTTAAAGCAATAAAGCATAAATCTAACCTGTCCAAGTATGTATTTTTTTAGTGAGCTTCCAAACAGATTATGTTAGAACAAATAACATTGCAACCAAGATTTATAATACTAAGGCTAACTAGTTCTACCCCGTAATACAAGAACAAAGCTGCTTCTTTATTTCATCTTCTAATGTTATCAATTGGTGAGAATGATGACTTTTTATCTAGCTTTAGTTTATTAGCATTTTAAAATGTGTTACTATGTTCATTAAAGACTCTTTTACATGGTTGTTGTTTTACAGTTGCACTATACAGCTAGCCTGCTTTTGTTTATCATTTTGTAAACCTATTGCTTTAAAACTTACCCAGAATTTCATACAGTGAATCTGCTGTTAATTTAAAAAAAACTGCTTATTTGTGCTAGAATAGAAAGCTTGACAGGCAGGCTTGGCAAAGAGTCAATTAAAACACTTTTGGTACCCAATTAACCTGTACTTTGTGTGGAATTCACATGCAAGACTTGAAGTCACTTAATATACTTAACTGCAGCCAACAGGACATAGTTTATGTATAAACAACTAAGCATAGTTGAAACACGCATTAAATCCATGCACTGTAATTGGGGTCACAACATGCAGCAAAGCAGTGGTCTGTTGGCTGAAAAGCAGGTGGGAAGTGGGCCGGACTGAGATAATTGTCTACGTGTGCGCCACAGATTTCACTGACACCACTGTAATGCAATCAGACACCTCTGATTACATTTTTGTCAGCAAGATCTATGCTATGCCAGAGATAACTTGACCAGGCTTATAACAACCTGGCTGATAATTGGAGCGTGTGGAAGCTGTGTCGGGAGCTACAGCGTGTGTTGAAACCCACACTGTGAACCTGAAGCCAGACATTTTTTTTTTGACATTTTATCTTGATTTATTGTGGCTCTGTAAAATATGCAGCAAATACACAAGGAGTAAACAAATGTGCTGGTGTGCATCACAGCCAGATGACAGGTACTCGGTACAGGTGACCAGGTGCATATGGAAGAAAAGTCCATAAGAAAATGAACTTTTAGAATAAGTAACTCAATCCTATAAAATTGCATGTATTAAGGGTAACCATGACATTTGTATTTTCATTTCCTCCGCTTATCCCACTTAAGACCTAAGTCTCCACTCACCAAGCACAATGGCCAGCATCTGAGTGGCCTTTTTCTCCCGTGCGTGCATGCTCCTGAATCGTGGGTTGTTGGTATGAGAATGAGGCACCGGCCGCAGTGACGTGTGTGTTCGTCCATTGGACAGATCCTTCACCTCGCAGCTCATTCTGACCGGAGGCTGTTCATGTTGGTTGTTCCCCTCCGCCTCCTCCTCCGCTCGCTCTTGCTCCAGCTCGAACTCGGTGCGGCCGCAGGAGGCGTGGCTGATGCTGCAGCAATTGTGTGTGTCCACCGGGGGCAGCATAGAGTTCTCTACAGGTCCCGTCTTTGGTCGTTTGCGCCACAGGCATCCCGACAGCAGGTTGGGCTTGGAGGGACCTGAAGGCTCTACACTCTGCTGTTGGGACAAATGATACACGATTATTGGCAAATTGTACAGTGAAAGAGATGAAGTGCAATCAGCACACATATTTAATCACATAATAAAGCTGTAATGTAATACTGTAATGCTCTAATTAATATTTGTATGTAAACAAAGGGTCAAATGACTATGAATAATGTGAAAGGTATTGGTTGTGGGGACAAACCAGCTTCAGAATGATCTATTTATCTATTAACTCTGCAGTTCCCCCTCAACTCTACAGAATATTTTAGCGTCTTTCAGCTCATTGTTTTAGTTTTCGGGCCTGTAGCTTTAATGTTTTGGTTCACTCAGAAATTTTCAGTGAAACAAGCTCTGATAAACATATAGTACTGTATCCTGCCAAGCACCAAAAGGCAGACAAAGTTAGAACATAATTGAGAATTTAGCTCTCTAAAGAGATGGATATTTTCCTCAGGAGTTGGTAAAGACCAAAACAGAGTTGAAGGGACCTGCTGGGTGTCAAGAAAAATAACAACTTTATAAGGTGAAATTGTGTCAATGTTATTATTGTTTTGCCCCCAACTTTGAAAAACAGATCAATTATTGCAGCTTCCAATGTTTGAATTTTAAATAATTCCAGTTCATTGCACTATTATTGACAGATTACCTTTATTTCATCCTGCTTTAACCTCATGTTGAAAATATTAAGCTCCTGAGTAAGCTGACAAAGAAAGTTGGAGGTGATGGTCAGTACATCTCAGATGAGATCTAAGTGCCATTCAGACAGACTGAAAGTGGTGGCAAGGCTCTTCCTGCACCTCCACTCCCACAGATGCACAGTTGGTATTCAACACACATCAATGCGACTACAGTATCTGTGCATTGACTGTAAAAGCAATATTTCAGTTTTTATAGCCTCTTTATTGACCTCTTCTACCAGCAAATACTTTCTAAAACATAAACAAATTCTACAAATACTGCTCCAACGAGCCATTTCTCCTAAGAAGTGTCAGTTTTAAGCACTGTGTAATGTATATTTCTAGTATTGCCAGAAACATGAATTTTTATAGTCTCCTCTTACTCACACACTCATCTCATCACACATTTTCCTCAGGGGAAAATTACAGATTGTTATTCCCTCCGCCTTTGAACAGTCTGTGGATTATGCAGGTGCTGCAGTGCGTCACCCACAGACTTTGCTCTGTTGACTAGTGACCAGGTGACACAAGGCAACGAGCCACGCTTCGGAATCACAATTTTCAGCTCCTTCTCAGACCCCTAGGCTGCGACCACGGACGATGCATGAACATAGACACAGAGAAACTCGCATGAAAAGCTAAAAACAGAACCGCCTTGCGTGCCACCGTGTCACAATACGCCAACACAGTCAATATGAGAGTTAGTCAGGCATTGGGCTGGTCTGCATTCAGCAAAACTAGAGCACTGGGGGAAAAAAAATCAATTCAAGAATTCAGGCTTGTGTGGGATCTCTAGTTTAAAATAACACTCACCACTTTAATCCGTATAGGTGACAAGTCTTGCTTCGCCTTGGGAGTCTCCTCTTGTAGACAGGTCTCCTAGGGGAGTAGAGGGAAAATTCAAGATGGGAAATATTTTCCAGAGAAATGCTCAACCCTCCCTTATCTCAACACCCCTACCAATCAATCTGGAGGTGCAGAATGTTTTTCGCCATTCACTTGGAAACTCACTGATGTCTATTCATCGGTTGTTTTTGTTTTTATTGAACTTCAAACAAACCTTGTTGAGTGTCACAGACAAAGTACATCAAGAGAATTAGGATTCACGTCTCTTATATTTTCAGTCACTCTCACTCCTGAGCCAAATACTGTGCAACTCAATTAAAGCTCAGAGTTAAAGATAGCTGCCTTTGAGACAAAGAAAAAACTGAAAGCCTCGTTTGTCATATCAAATGTTCCTTTAGTTGACTGAGTCAGAGTCCTATTATGTTATTTCAAATCACTTTTCCATTATAACTCTCTCAGCCTGAACTACTCCAGGGCTCGGATCTTACAACGGGTGTCTCCAGTCATGGATGAGATCTCAAACTGGGTCTCACCCACAACCAATTATCTGTAACCTGCTGTTAAAATATTGGACTTGACTGTGAATTTGTGTGCATTGAAGGGGAGAAAAATGGACTGGAGTGAATCAAAACCACATTACACAGGAAGCTCCTGGATTTGCCAAAGCTGGTCAAGTTACTGGATGGAATTATCACATAGTGTCTTTTTATACATCATATTTTAAAAATAGGTTGGTACAGATGCACAGAACATGACCTGATGTCTCCTTGCCCCTGGTTAAAAGATAACGGCATCATTTGTATGATAGATCTAACTGGAGCAAATATGATGGATGTGATCAAAGAACTGACAGCTGGTTGTAAACTAAATTCAGAACTGAACTGTAATGAGACATCCAACCTTGTCACAAAATCACTGAAATAAAAAGAAGATGCTTTTTACGGACTAAAATATAATTTATTGCTTTGTTCTCAAAATAAACATAAAATATTTCCTCTCTATCTAAAAAACAACTTAAATACAATTTGTTCTCTTTGGCTCTTAAAAACCAGTATATATGTGTGGCTGCAGATCGAACTAACTGAACACGGCTGCCGTCTATATTTGACTTGGGAATGAGAACAAGTTGTGAAGATAAACTAGGATAAACTACAATGGCTGCGAAACACGACAGAGCCTTTTTACAGCCAGTGTTTGGTCTGTTCTGTAGAAACATGGCGGTTTAACATGGCAGACTCCAACCGACCCGCGGCGTCTGTAGATAAAAAAATGGCTCATTCTAAGGGAACAGAAACACAACGATTCCTATTTTCAGGTGATTTTATACACTAATGAAAACATACCTACGAATATTATATTCCATTTCTGACAATAGACTGGACCTTTAATGCTATAGCCTACTCTTAATTTAGCATGATTTTAGCTAAGCAATTAGCGTTCCCATTAGCCTTTGATGTGTTTTGTATTGAGTTAGCTATCTATTACATATTTACATATATATTGTTTGTATTTGTGTTTGTTTGTTTGTCCTTCTTTTTTTCCCCCTCGTTCGAGTTTGTTAAGTGAGCTCAACGCTCCGCCTGATTAAATTTAGCCTACTATTTTTAACTTGACAAGCCCTTTTAATTAAGAACACCTTCAATTTTACAGTGACAACCGTGTCAGCTGCTTATGAACCGAGCTATATGTTTCATCTTTGACCTGTTGCACTCAGCCTACATTCACAGAGCAGCCTCACACAAAATCACACAGCTTTTCTCTCCTATTAGGGCAAAGTAATATTCCTGAGATAGTCTTCTGACATCTCATCTGAACCCTTTTACCTGTGGCTTAAAATAAAAAGTCATGCATATTAGAAAAATACTCGGGGAATTTTATCCAGTGTTTCTGACAGCGGCAGGGTATTTTTAAACTGTAATGGAACCAGTTATGAGGCTTTGGGGGAGGTTTTGCTAGTGAGGTATGTGCACATAAAAGGAAGAGGAAAGGTGAGCGCGTCCAACAGAAAAGGTGTAATATAAAGGTGAAATGTAATTTGCAAGTCATTATGAGTATGCACAATGTGGGTGAATGCGAATGAGGGAAAGGGACTGTACCTGAATGATAAATATAACATTGCTGGTAGAAAAACTTGCGCCTTCAAAGAATCAGCTCATTAGGAAAGAATGTTTTTTTTTTTCTCAGTCAGGAGATGACTGCATAATACTGGATGTGAAACATCTCTTTGGTTGTTGAGACATCAGTAGTCAATTCATTAATGAGTAAACAGCAATGAACAGCAGGTCAGCAGTTATAAAAGTTAGTAAGCATAACAAACAATATTAAACAATTAAATTTGCAGTTATAAGTCAAAACAAACAATAAAACAATAAAAGAACCTGCTGTTATAAATGTTAATATGTTGCACATAAACAACAATAATCACCAGTTATAAATGTAAGTCATTAGTACTGTTTACTTATTTATAAATGAATTGCTATTGCCCTGCAGCTTTATTCCTGAATCTAAAAACACAAAGCAAATGTTTTGCTGGAGGAGGATTAACTCAAATGTTGTTCATATTAACCACTTAAACCTGATTTATAAATGATCAAGCATAAATGAAGGCATTAGTTCCAATTTACACATTCTTCATGAGAGGAGCTTTTTTGGAAAGTGGTGCCATAATTCAGCAAAAGTGACACCTGCAAAAGATAAATATAATAATCTCACCACAGATGGTGGAGTTGAGCCTGGCTGCACCTTCCCGCTGGCCTGGCCAAAGGCGATCCTCTTCCGCCTCATCCTGAGGAAGACGTAGATACGGATGTAGACCAGCAGAGTGACAATAAACGGCAAGTAGAAGGACACCACCGAGGAGTAGATAACAAACTCAGGGTTGGAGATGGAGCACACCATGGGGTCATCTGAGTCAAAAAAAAATAATCATTATGCAAAACAGCCTCAAAATCACAGGATAATAAAGGTTGGTGTAATTTACAGCTGACCTCTGACCTCTGGTGCATGTTCTCTATCTTGAAAATAACATTGATGTCTTATTCTCTTTCATATTCTGCAGACGTACTGAATTGTACGGTGCTGTACTCAACGCAATTATTGTGAGGTGGAGGGATGATTGATCTGACAACAATTGCGCCATAAATTCAGGACAAAAGACCGTTTGACATGATAATGATAGTGTAGAAATCAATTATTGCATCAGAGTTAAATATCTATCAGGTAATAGTGCTGCGAATTGAAGAAAAATGATGCATGCTCTGACCACAGCTGTGAAATGAACATTGCATGTCAGTGGCATGAACAAACTGAAGTGATTGGCCTCTCCCTGGATGTTCATCCTGGATCAATACCACATATCTCAACACACAGAGAGAGAGATGGAAACAAGGATAGACAGGTACAGTCTATTTCTAGCCACACTCCAAACCTCATTCAGTTTCTTGATTCATATTATTTTGCCATTTTGTTTGGCACTTATACAGTATTTGTGTCATCAAACTGCTCTTTTTCAATCCATTTCTTTAGAATGACGATGAAGGATCTTAGACCTGATGTGACCCCATTGGTCCCTCTCTGCAGCACTGATGTGTGGTTGCATCCTGACAAAACAGTGGAATTCCTGCAATCACCATCCATTGTTATGCATTGATTGTAAGTGGACTCAACCAAATGCCTGTATCTCTGTGAGTAGCTTTACATTGTGTCTGACTAATGCTCTTCTTTGTGTGCGAGCAGTCATGCATCTGTGCTGCTGGCCATTGAAATTAAAATCGCTGCTGGTGATGTCTCCCGCATTTCTTGTTCCCATTTTTATTGTCTGGTGGCTGATTCTTCATGTTCCCACATCACACTGCAAGATGTGATTTTGTCAGCACAGCAGATTTTCAGCTGTGTAGAACATGAATAATCCCGAAAACATCCCTCAGAATCTTCTCAGGAAGAATAAAAAAGCCTCCTGCTAGAGTGACAATTCCTCCTCTAAGCATTTAAACAGCCTTTAATAGTATAAATTCGCTATTTTTGTTGTTACATACAGTATTTGTCGTCATTTGTCAAAAAGTGAAACCACATGCTTTTAAATAAGTTGAATTGAACATATTAGTACATGTCTTTCAAACTCAACCTGCTCCAGTTTATAACACAGGCTATATGTTAAAAAGTCTCATCATCAGTGGTTATTTTCTCAGAGTGAAGCACAAGGCAGAGTCACAGAAGATATTAAACAACATTTTCACAGGCTGAGTAGTACAGGACAGTGCTCACCATGACCAGCAAATTGACTCTGACATGCTAAATTGGTGGAGTGCACCTTAAAATCGCACTTTAGATTGCATTTCATGTCCCACTGCTGACCCCAAACGGCAAGTAGACAGAATTCTGACCCTGAATTTCACAGTAAGTTGGTGCCTCGTGCTTCGCATTCTATCCTGTGTAACTTGTTTCTACGCTACAGTGCATTTAGACAAATTTCAAAATGTTGTTGACCTGACCTGTGGTGTTGAAACCAAACAGCAGTGGACAGGAGACAGCGAAGGCCAGGACCCACACGGTGGCAATCATCACAAAAACTCTCTTCCTGGAGCGATGGGTGGTGTTGTACAAGACGGGCATCACCACTGCTGTGTACCTGCAGACACACACAGATTAGAGTCTGTCCAGCTTTGAAAATGTGCGTGTAGAGGGGATAGGTGGTGACATTTGAATGAGGAGAAAAGTGCTGATATGGTAGAGTAAAAGGGAATAATTAGAGAGAGAAAAGGAGCATCCCTGAAAAGAACAAGTCTTTGGGGAAGCCAAGAAATGCACTGCTGAGAGAAAGCGGATAATATGAAGACCAACAATGAAGCAGCAAACCAGGCATTTCTATTTAGAAACAATTTGGGTATTCAGCAATAAACCTAGTGGGCCTTTGATTTAAATGTTAATCAGCACACTATATGCTATAAGGGTGTATAATGAGCCCGGGAAAACTGGGTTCAGCAATGGCTTAGAAGAAGCAGCAATTACGCTGGACCCCGACCCAAAATGGATGTGATGTTATGTTGTTTAGAGCCAGATAACTGCCACGATTGTTTATCCTCATCAGACTAATTACACTGGTTCCTCTGTGGGCAAAATGCAGGGCGAAACCCGGAGCACAGACATTCACTAAAAATACTCTTCCATCCCTGCTTTACTCTGTCTTTACCCTCCTGCCATGTTGCTGTCTGGTTAAATATAAGCCGAGATGAAAAAGTGGAGTGGTAAAAAATAATGAACATGATTTATTGATCAAGTGCTGCTTTAACTTACACTTTTAGTTAAGGATGAAAATAAGCTGCCTCAGCTCTGAGTCACTGCTCAAAAACATGACCTACACTTTCACAAAGACACTCCACCTTTAAGTTTGATGCAAAAACTTCCTTTCTGGTGTATTTACGCTGCCTCTTAGTAGCCTGGTTTGACTTTTCCTTTCAACAGGCGACAAATCTTCCGTGCTATCACAGGAGTGATTTCTGTAAAGTTATAAATAAACAAGGCTGTCACAAAGGTAATGCGAGCGTGTTATACGCTATCATTGACACAGAATGCCCCTGGTGCTTCTCTTTAATGTAGCACCTCACAAAGCGTGTAAGCAGTGTTGTTGACTCGTCTAATAATCAATCACAGACAACCACAGGGCTCCAAAGAACTTCACCCCTCAGAAGCAAATTATGTATTGTGTTGCGAAGAAAACACTGTAGGACAAACATATATACCAGCAGGCCTGTAAACATGTGCAATTAAAGGAGCAAAATAAACAAAACAAAAAAAAAGGTTTCCCTGTACTAGACTATGGCCTGATCTACCTGTTTGGGGGGCCCTGGGCAAAAATGTCTGCATTGTGTATGTACCATGTTGCCTTTAAGTTCCCATTAAAATCTATTGCTGGCTGCAGGTTTTTCTGTGTATTCATTAATTTGTGGTAATTTGAACCTGCAATAACATCAACATCAACAACATTGACATATTATCACCCTTTAAACTGACATGGTGAACTTTATAGCCAACGGTTGCTTATTTACACATCCAGCAGTTGCGAAACACATTCATCAGTTTTTAGTCATGTTTCTGACCACTTGGCAAATGCAACTCCAATATTAGTTTTCTTTTAGCTCAGTTTTCAGTCTCTATCAGCTCCTGAAGGTAATCTCTCTCTCTCAACCTGCTAAATATTCCACTATTCTCTAACTATATATGTCTGTTTGCTGTTCAATGCTGAGCAGGTGGAACCAAAACAGTAAAGTTGTGGGCTGGACAAGCAAAACAAACTAAAACTTGTTCAACAAAATCTCTGTAAAGTTGTGGGGAGCTGCAGATTCAGGTGATAATTCTCTGTATGACTAAGAGTCTACGAGTTAGGGATAATTGAGATAATAATCCAGGGCTATCTTATTTGTTATTGTACTTTGCAAATTCCTTTACAAATTTGCAAATAATCAAATTACCAGGAAAACAAACACACAATGAACCAGGAACATTTGAGGCCTCTGAACAACTGTTGCTTTGCCCTGGTGAAATCAGCTTTGTACACTGGTATCTTATGAAAGCATCCATCGGAAGGAAAAGACTCCCTCCTCTGTAAGTGCAGTACAAATATATCCCCACCTTCAGTTATTTATGTTATTCATTGTATATAATTGAACTCTTGCCTGGGGGTGTAAGTTCAAAGACTATTGAGAGCTATTAAATATTAACTGTGACACAAGAAGAAAACTAAGCAAATAAATAATGTAAATACTACAGTAAATTTTCAAACTGACGGCACGGCACAGCTCCTCCTGCATCAATGCAAACAAATGCAATTAGACGCAAACATACCTAAGAACTTACAACATCAAAACAGAAACACATAAATCTCCTCATTTCTGTCGCTCACTGACGCCCACAGATATACACACATATCTATTAAGAGGATACAAACATGATGGAAAAAGTGTCCTTCTCCAGGAAGTTTAACATTTCTATGAGGTGAGGTGAACAAAAGAATAAGATCTTGAAATATGGAAATCTCACTTGGATGACATTTAAACTGGAGATGTCATGGCAACGTCATACACAATAACTGCGGTAAGAAGGTAAACACACACTCTGCACACTCACCTGTCAATGCTGATAGCACACAGGTTGAGGATACTGGCGGTGCACATCATCACATCTAGCGTGACAAAGATGTTACAGTAGAGCCGGCTGAAAAGCCAGGCACCGCCGACCACCTGCACAGGACAGACAGGCATATTAACAATGCACACCTTTCTCTTCCCCTTCTCCACCGTGAAGTGTGAAGCACCTATTGAGTGCACACATGAACGCACACACTCGCGCATGTGACAGAAAAGGCAAGGAAGAAGGAAAAATGTGCACATGGAGATAGTTTGGCCTACATGACATGAAAAGGATATTGAAAAAAAAAAAAAAAAACATATTCACCCTGATATATTGAACTTTAGCATTTATGCTAATAGGGGTATTCATTAGGCAAATTTATGCATGAATTAGCAAATATGTTTATGTCAGCATATAGCACTTATCCTCATCCTCGGATAACACAAACTGCAAGGTGCTCTGAAGTGTAAATGTTCTCTGATGATGCCGCCATGATGGACAACATACATAATGTTGTTAGCAGTAAAGTAGAATCGAGGGAATGTGTCAAACACAGGATCTAATTATCCTCAAGGGAGTTTCCAACTCTCAGAAAGGACACTAACCCCAAGCTAAACCAATAACACCCTAAACCATCCCCTTGACCTCCACCCACACAGCAGGCTCCTGCTCAGACCGACTTTCACTTTGGCTCCATAATGCCTGGTAATAACTGTCTGACAAAGATAAATGGGATCCAAGCTCTTTCGCCTGGTTACTGAATCTCTTTAGTCTGAGATGGGAATATACGCCTACCCACAGAGGCGGCAGGCACACATGGGAATACGCAGAGGCACACACACACACACACACACACACACGTACAAAGATGTAAATAGACAGCAATCTCTCTCGCACAGATAGTGCTGAGAGAGACAAACAGATACACCAGTGGCGCTCCCAGATATTTTTCATAGGGGTGACCAGAGGGGGCCACTCACATGGGGTGGCACAAAAACCTAAACCAAAAGCTTGGAGGAGTGGGGAAGTTCATAACATGATTATGAAAAATATACATTGTTGATTTAAATGAATAGTACCTAAAATGTCTAATAGAAGCATACAATACGTACAGAAGCATCAATGTATCAAGGAGGACCTCCCCTTGATGGCACCACTGAGATACACTGAGTGTGTTTTCTGAGATACACTGAGTTGTTTTCGTATACAGACTAATGTGGAATCTACTAATGTTCATTTCTAAACTTCTGTGTATCTCTCCGCAAAATGCCTAACCTGAACACAAATGCCCGTACACATATTCCAGTTTTAAATGAGCTCTCCACCAATTTTACACATAAAAATGTGTTTACTTGTCATGGTTAGTACCACTCAGCGTGTGAAAACAGCTGCGTAATGTCTTCTGTGGGTCTGGAGGAGCTTTGTCAGGTAAGAGAAAATAAACCAGCTGATGTCACATCATCAGGGTTATTTCGTTTTGGGCTTGCGGAATACACAGTTTTAACAGAAAGGCATTAAGTTTGAAAGATGTGGATGTTTAGCAGGTGTGGAGGTTGTAATCTGTTATACTGTTCAGTGGCATTATGGGAAGTATTTGAACAAGCATTTCTGCACCATGACCCAAACTAGCACCGTTCCCCACTTCCTTCCTGCATACAATTTCTAAAAAGGGTTTGTGTAAATGGTGTGTGCACATATACTCAAAAAAGTAAGTGCATACTTACAAATGGTGGATTTATGAGTATGCTGTTAATGTACAATATTGATCCATAATACACTGCACAAAAATGGAGCACCTGCTCACAGCTGCAAAAATATAAATTGCAGGTGGTAGTGAAACAGGAAGATCTTACATAGGAGAAAACCTGCTAAATGGTAAAATATGCACAAAAACACAATTCCTAATCCTAACCATCCTACTGTCTTTGTGGCATACCACTATCATCATTTTAATCTTTGTAAGGACATTTGGTCTTTTTAAGTATAGAAATAACAGCACACACACATACACACAATATATACACTGCCCACTGCCCCCCCCCGCCCACACACACACACAAAGACTGGATATTGTGCACAGTGTGGGAATATGATAGTGACTCAGAGGGGCTCTGCCTCGTATTGACTGTGAACATACAGTATATGTGATCCATATGTTCACAGCAGTGACGTGAGAAGACACAGCTGGCACAGCATTTGTTTTGGACACTAGGACACAATATACAGTATCTATTAGAGGGAGGTAATCTGTGTTTTCTTCTGGTTTTCCAGGGATCTCAAACTAAAGGCCTATGACAATTTTTAATACTTTTTTTGTCTAGTTAGCAAAAAAAAAAAAGACTCTTTTTATGTGTGGATTTCCTTTGGTGAAAAATAATGGCAAAAGCCAAAGGTTCCTGCAAGCGGTTGATAAGAAGAGAGAAGGTTTCATTTCGTCTCCATTTGTTGTTTGGCTGTGAACAACTAAAACAATAAATTAATAAAAATGTCTACAAACTGCTGTTTGAATATTGAGCTTTCTTGTTGTACTTGAACGCTGAAGCGGCCCTCCCATGAGATGCAGGGGCATGTCCAGAGGGGGGGCCTGAAATCTGATTGTCCACCCCAAGTGCCAGTCCATTATCCTTATCTCTTCCACTCTGCACTCGTCTTTCAGAGGCGGTATCAGGCTCAGATAGATAGATACTAATATCATATGAAACTAAATGACCTAATGCATGCATTGGCACCAACCGTGTCATGCTAGCATCTCAATGAGGGGTCCCTTGACCTCTGACCTTAAGATATCTGAGTGTCCCCACGAATCTCCCCTTTGCAAACGTTCCCATTTATCTAATCCCACTCTAGCTAATCCCCTGCAGTTTTGGGCAAAAACCAAACACGTTTTTTGGATGTGAATGTGTTATTTTTGCCTAGTGTGTTTGAATATTTCTGCATACTGGGATCCCTAAACAGTATTGGAATTTCAGAATTTCCTAGTCCCAGTCAAAAAAGTCTGGACTCACCCCTGATGAGATCACAATACCAGCATTGGCCCCGAGCCAATTTGTATTTTAGACCCATCACATAAAGTAAAAGTAACAGGAAATTATGGGGCTACTACTTTTCTTAGATATTTTTCATTTATTCATAGTACATTTGTTATCAATAATCTTATGTTTTCTATCAGATCTCACTGTATTCCACATAATAAAACACTACTGATAAAATCTTGAACTTGGAAGAGGAGCATCCGCTGCACTACAAATGGAAATGTTTCCGTAGTCAGCTCATACATTTTCTGAGGGAGAGCAACATCATTTAGGATGAATTGTGGAAAGTAAGCGCTCAGTCATTGCTGCCAATACAACCATTTCCTTTAAGTACAAGTCATACATCAACTGTGCCATCCAGGGAGAAGGTGGCTTGCTCAAGGGCACATTATTAGTACCTGCTGTGGGTGGTGCAAGCAACACTCAGTCACTTTTCCTGCCAAGACATGCCTGCAGAAGTAAACCTGCAATGTTCTGGTCACAACGAGCTAATCCCCCTGTCCCTCAGATTAGACCTTGCAGCGTGATGGTGCACACAGTGCCAGTCTTGGGAGTCTTTGACCCTGACTCTGAACTAATATGTTTTTTCCCAGCCTCATAGAAGATACTACTGACCTTTACGTTCCTGCTAAATTAATGAATATTGCACTTTTGTATGATTCAATATGTCCTTCAGCAATTATATATAATCTACACGAATAGTGAAGCACTATCTAACTACCTTTCATCATCATTACTGTCTCCCTATCACCCACACAGTTGTCACTCTGTAATAAGCTCCAAATTACCCTCATCCTTTTTCCCTCTGACTGTAGCTCCCTTTTTTGGGTGCCAAAGTCCACTTTGTCTCCTCCCTTCCCTCTCCTCCCTTCCCCTCTTCTCTCTTCTCCTCTCCAGTGTCAGCTGCTCAGTCATTGCCAAGAATGTGTATTTCAATCTCTTCCACAACCTCTGTACTTCCTCTCCATTTTCTTGCCCTTCTTTTGCTTCAGAGCTCTAGATCAGTAATTCCCAACCAGAGGTAATTGTATCACAAGAGGGGTACTTCTGCAGTTGCCACCATGGCTGCAGGCGGAAAGACTGTGGGGCAGCTCAACTACTAAAAAAGAAAAAAAGAAAATTGTGGTGTGATTAAAAAACATTTGTGTTCAGGAAAGAAAATAAGGATCCAATTAGAATTACAAACTCGTGTGTCCCTTTTATTGTCATAATAACCAGTAAACTAAGCTGACTGTGGCAATACCTAAAGGCCAAAGAGACTGCATGGAAACTATTAAATCATCATATCCAGCACATGTTCTGCTGCAATGACATTGTCTGCACGCCTGTCTGCCCCTCTGACAGATCCCTGGCTTGGAAACGGGAACGCTATGGCAACTGTTGTGTGTAGGTGCTATATTTATGGGATGTGTGTATAAATGGGGATGTATTTGATGTCTATTATGTCATGTTGTGGTGTGTAATGTGTCTGTGTAGCTACTGTAGGTATTTATGTGAGGCTCTGTACAGACTGTGCAAAAAAAAACAATAAAGAATCTATCAAGCAAGCAGAGAAGTTGAAATAATATGTAAAAAGTAATTAAGGTATATATTTTTTAAATAGTTAATATAATCAAAGGATAAACAGTAAAAACAGCTAAAAGTAATAAATGGTATGTCGTGTAACTTAACATCTACTTTGAAATAAACTGAAATAAACTTAATCAGCAACATGAACTTAAATTGTCCGTTGATTCTGGCGGCACCTGTGGACAGACGTGGTCTTTCAGACGTCTTTCCACTGCCTTGTTTAATTGGTTTCATGGGGAATCCGACTAAATCCGACCTGGAGGCAGACATTAAGAATAACTACATAGCCAATGTTCTTGTGTGCTTATAGGTCATATAGAGGCATCAGTATTAAATTAAGACTGTTTCATAACCAGTAAAAACTCCTTGAGGTAGGTTTAAATGCTCTGATGCATTCCTATATGTCAGACAAAAAAGGTTGTGAGCCACTGCTCTAAATCAATACTACTGTATACACTGATATTCTGAGACACGATGACCTCCTCACCTCCAGGTACACAGCCCAGGGCATGACCAAAGAGGCCACCAGCAGGTCAGCCACAGCCAGGCTGACCACCAGGTAGTTGGTGGTCGTCTGCAGGGAACGCTCCCTCAGCACAGCCAGACACACCAGCACGTTTCCAAAGACGATGGCCAGGATGAGCAGGGAGTACAGCATGGCGTAGTAGTTACGTTCATCCTGCCCCGATGCCTCTGAGCTCTCATTCCTGTCGTCCCATCCGAGACTGTCTGATTCGTTCCAGAGCCGCTCTGCACTACTAAACAACGCCATGGGGGCGCCCCGGTGACATGGGAGGTGAAGTGTTTGGCAGACCTACCAAAGGAAAAGAAGCATGGTTTAGTGTTAACTCATTTATCAGATCTCCCTCTCACAGACGTTTCTCACGTCATTAGTCAGATGAAAGCACAGCATATTAGCCATCAGATGATGGTGGCAGGATCATTTCAGGTCAATGGCCTACTGGGAAACATCTCCTGGCAACAGCAGTCAGATGAACTGATGAATAAAACGGCTGAAATGCATCCGAGCAGTGATGTTCTTTTCTGTACATCGCTGCTTTTTGCTGCACACTGGCACAAATATTTTATTTTTCCTTAATGAAAAATGGAAACACATATCGATGGCTCCTTAAGACTCGGCTCTCTGGCTCCTACACAATCAACTCTATGAAGACTCAGCAGAAATTCATGCTCTTAACTGCAGACTTAATTGATGGTGTAATGCATTTCTGGTGGTTCCAGTTAACCTTTCATATGTACTTTCCTGTAAATTGCTTTTAATACAGCCAACAGAAACAGAAAACTACAAAGCAGAGATAGTAACTTTAATGAGGGGCCGGCAGTGTGCCTTTGAGCAGCATCAGTGAGGTAAGCTCATCAGGGAGGAGTAATAAGTCAGTGCAGCCACCCTGAGTGGTCCGGTTGGCTCTGGTCCCGGGCTCTGCTCCTTGCACTCCATCCTTCCTCTCATTTATTCCCAATCCTCCCTCTCTGGCCAGAGTCCAAATAACAGTGCTGTGGTGATGCTCACACCTGTGCCTAGATGTTAAAACAAACTGATCCATTTTTGTCCAGCTCCCACTTCTCTTTCTGTGACAGAAAAATAGGGAGAAAGACGCAGAGAAAATGGGACCATTTTTAGACCTGGCTCAAACCCAGGAGGCTTTTAAAGATTTCCTCAGTCTATAATCCCACTCACTTTCTCAATGGCTCCAGTATCATATGATTGTCCACAAGAGAATCTGAAGAAGCGAAGAAAAAAAAAAACAGCCACTGATACCAATCACCTTGAAGTCTCCTAATGGAAGTGCAGCACTAAGTTCATCACAGAATTAGGTGTGACAGGTCGTGAGGAATAAAATCACATCTATGCACACCAACACACATGCATTTTTAATCCCAGTCCCACTGTTTACGTGATACAAGGTTGCATAGTGCTCCAGCTGCATGGTTTGCTTGCGCTTGTAGATCAAGTGCTAATTGAAACTGATTTCCCTCTTCACTCTTTTGTTCGCTGGACCTCCCTCTCATATTAATCACCACCTGATCCTCTTCACTTAATGTCAGAGTGTAGGACTCTGACCTCTTACAAGTGTGCCTGAAAAGGGCATCATTAGACCCTCAAATGCATGCATAAACAAATTCAGAATACATATATATATATATTGTGTGTGCTGCCTTTGTAAAGCCTCTAAAGCCACTACGAAGGATGTAATGGAAGGAGTGGGTGTTTCTATTTTTAACTGCACATACAGTAAAGCCTAAAGACAACTTAGTTACATTATCAGAAAATTAGTAATAAATCAATTAACTGGGGGTCATGCAGGCAAAGACGAGGTAACTGACAGTAACTGATTTGTTTTTTATCCCAAAATTCATTACAGCTGCCAGGGAATGTTAATCTGCGCGAGTAGTAATATTCAATTAAAGATCACGATAGCTCACTTTATCACGCTTCGCAATCACGCTTGCAGATTGATTGGGGTCAAATATAGTCCACTGACAGGAATAATTACGCACAAAACGAGTTTCCCCATATGGTCACATATCAGAGCACATGCTGAATGAAACAATTAGCAAACAAAGCAGCAGACAAGAATGCAATTTAAGACACAAACACAGGGAGAAACAACAAAACAACATTTAAAAGGGGAGTTTAAGTATGTAATTTAATTTTTTTTTTTTTTTTTTTTTTTGCCAATTAAACAGACTTACCTGTTATGTTTCCCAGTGAAGAATTCATCAGATGCCATCGAGGGAAGGCATCATCCGAGCAGATTTAAAAGTTATCCGGTTATCATCGGGTCCAGCTCTGCGAGGAGAGCGGGAGGAGCGCTCGGTGCCATTGCGCGCAGGCGACTGTGAATGTGGGAAGCTCTCACTGGTGAACCCGCGGCGCAATCACTTACTTCACCCAGAGCTCCGCGGCTCAGTGAGGGCAGGTAACACGCGTTGAGCTTTTTTTTTTAACACTATGATTTTGCAGCCACACCGGCGGCGCGCGTCCGTGCGTGGCTGCAGACGTCAGGTGTCTCCCTTTGCGCGTTTAGTGATGCAGCGAGTGGCAAATGAAGGTGACCACTTATTACAACCTTTAAAGAATCTGTTTTAATTTCAGAATTAAAATATGTTTTACTTAAATATTTAGTTTAAAGGATAATATATGCTAGAATCGTGTCCCATGGCTGTATTCCCCAACATGACCCTGAACCAGTCTGGGTCGTGCTATGCTGGAAGTGACATTCGCATAAAAATAGTCTAATGTTGGCCTCATAAAACAGGACCAGTAGGATATCCAGAGCGTAAATTGTCAGTCTGGATCTGGTGCATGAAAAAATGTATAGCCCATACCCATTATTATGGCTCTGGCATCCTATGAAGTCCCCTTTCGAACCCCTTTGGCACAAAGAACAAAACAAAAACAAAAAAACAACTAAAGAGTACCCAGAGCTTGTGTCTTATATCTTATATTCCCAGCCAATGTGCTTTGTTTTGTTATCTTCTACATGCCATTTTAAGATAAGAGTAGCCTAATAAGCCCTGCAGGAGTAGCCACCAAACAAATGAGATCTGGACCAAACCAATATGAAGTGTACCAAGGGAAGCTGTTGTTTTTTTTCCCCTCAATGAACCAGTTCCAAGTTGCAAAGAGTCCAATTTTATTGTAAAAGCTAGAGAGAACACAATCGATGTTTCTGCGGCACTTTGTTGTATTTTAATACACAATGGGGTTTCTTTTATCACTACATTAATCCTCAGTTGGGAGGCAAATGAAGACCACATAGCTCAGGTTTCCATTTATTTTTATATCTAAATGACAGCAGGTGACACAGCCTCACATTACAAAGCCTCCCATAAAGTGCAGTTTTAAAAATCAGTGAGCAGCAGAATGTTGATGGGCTGTTTGATGTGACCGCAGCAGCTGACAAACAGCCCTAACTGATAATTTTTCACCACCAACCGGCAGTCAGTTTGTATTTTAACTAATGTAAAAGTGTCCAAATGTCCTTGGTGCTCATTGGAAATTTGACCCATCCTTCTCCTCCACAGCAGCACGTTGGCACATACCTCCTGTGCACCGCAGAGCTGAAGAGAATCCTAATACACCGTGTAGCTGGCAGGAATCCATACATTTAAAACTTGACACAAGTAATGGTGTGTGACATCCATAACACATGCTGAATTTTGACTTTGGACCATATAACAGTGCACGGTGGCTTCTCCAACATGGCCAATAAATCCAGATTTCCCTCTCGCAGTCCATTTATGTACATTATGCAACATTCAGGAAATCAATCTCAGTCTCTCCAACATGAATGACAGCTACTGGAAGTGTGTAATTTTTTTTATGGAATTGCTATTTCCTCACTGACTTTGTGATTTATGATTACAAAATGTGCAAAAATAGTTTTTGAATAGAGGCACCTTCAAACTCCCTTTTCATGGTCACTGAGAGGATCAACTCTGATGTATAAACTCGTAGTGGGCCATCAGAAACCTTCTATTGATTCCTCCACACACACACACACACAACACAACACACACACACACACACACCTGCTGTATTGTTAGTGTTTTGCAAATAGCCAAAATGACGGCATGGAAAGGTGGAGGGTGAAGTGGGCTCTGCTTCCCCTCTGAATGAGGGATGTACGGACCTTGTGCAGATTGGGCACTTGGCAGCTGCTCTCAGTGCTGTTACTCACGGGATCTATACCTGTCTAGACCAATACCAGTGTGAAGGTCATGCCTGAGAGGGCATTGCTACAATGATGATAAAGGACAGTGGTAAGAGAAAATAGAAATAAACGTTTTCTGAGTTGGTTGAAATTTTGCTGCCATCTACTGGTCCAGAGATTGAACTGCTTTTATCCAACACAGAAACACTATCTGTGTCCCAAAGCCAGGTTAGCTTTTGAGTCTGTACGTATGAGTGTGTTCACAATGGAAATTTTACTAAATACAGTATACTCCAAACAGTCTATGGATGTTAAAAAACTCTTGAATTTTGAATGTGCAGTTGGTGGGCGTCAGGAAATGAAGGCGCTGCTCACAGCTGCTGTAATGTTGCACTTCTGTTTTTAGTAAGTTTAACTTTCATTCAAATTGTTGTGTTATTGACGTCTGATGGTGCAAGTTTTATTACCTGTTAAGGTAGTTAAGTTAATAAAGATTAATATATATTTAATTACTGATTAATCTGCCAATTACTTTCTCGATTTGAGAAAGTTTTCTTTTATCCAACCACATGTCCAAAACCCAAATGTAATGATATTACCGTCATAAAGGACAGAAAAGAAAAAACAGTATATATAATAAATTGTTCCAGTGAAAAAGCTGAAACCAGAGAACTTTCTGGGGTTTTTTTGCTTGATAAGTGACTAAAACAATTAATCGATCAAAATAGTTGCTCATTAATTTCTGGCTGATTGACTAATTGTTGCAACTCTACTATAAAGTTCACAATATACTGCATACAGTATATACAGTAGAGCATATAGTATTAGTATGTAGTATAGAACTGGAAACAGCAACTGTGTCCCAACACTGTTTGTAGTGTGTTCATACCGGAAAAGTGTCAAAAAAGTCAGAATGCACTAATGATGGGCAGAACGATTCTTTTTCACATAACCGGTTCCTTCAAGTTGATATAGGTATAAACAGATCAAATCTGTAGTTTTGATACTTTCTTACAAACTATGTCTGTTATAGTAAATGCACATTGGATAGTGCTGCCTGCCCCACAAACCTTCTCTTTAAATGCATAACCAGTTATCATGTATATTTTTAAACTAATAAAGATACATTCATTTTAATGAACTGATTCAGCATCCACGTATGTAGGTAAGCAATGTAAGCCCAACACACAATGTTACAGAAATGTGCACTGATTTGTCATATTTCCTGAGCATGTATCAAACGTCCCACTCCCAGTCTGTCTGATTCGTTCTCGTTCAGTGTGAGTGAGCGTTGCTGCCAGACTCTGGACTGAATGCTGGACTCGGCTTGAGTCACTCATTGACGTCGTTGTTTGAGACAATGATTCCTGCTCATTCATTGGTTTTCCCGCCTCCTATGTTTTGAGCGATTGCACCACCGTAGCAGGCATCTTGAGCAGTTCCCTGTTATAACAGCGAGTAGGTGTGGGCAGTATGAGTCAGGGATTCATGAGTACCTGGTACATACTGGACACTAAAGAATCATTCACCCATCACTAGTAGTAGTTTTAGCTTTTTATTGCAATGACAAGTTAATTTTTAGCAATTAAAAATAAATAATCACTACAAAAGATTTATACAGCCATGTTGCAATTTCTTGAAGATTTAATCAACATCAAACACACATTAGTCATATTTTCATAAATCATATGTCTTAATAGAAAGGATACACAGCATATGCAAAAGCTTAATGACAGGGTTGAATCAGTAACTAAAAAATGTAAAGTGGTGTTTACCTGTAAAGTCACAGTCAACTGTAATTAAACTGTAACTTAATAACAGTCAATATGATATAAAACTGTAACTGAATGTTTCTAACAAATGTGTTATCTCTCATTTATATACTGCAGGTTAGTATTGGCTCCATTTTTAATAAAGATATGCAACTTAAGTGCAGAATTCAGCCCGGATTCATTTTCCTTCTTGCTCTGCCCACTCACTGTACCCTCCTTTATAATGTCTCGCCCTGAGAAAAAGAAGCATAAAACAGAAGAGCTTAGTCTCTTATCACCAATGTTTGTCTTTCTACTGAAAGGTCAGCAAACGCTCAACAAACCAAAGCAGCATTCAAGGACGTTGTACTCGGGGACTGATCAATAATTAAATAACAACACATGTATAGTACTGGACAGCTCCACTACAGCTTATTGTCACATTTATTTTATAACTGTGACAGCTCACCTGTAATAGGTCACATAATAATTGGACTAAATGTGCTCCTTGTGTTTATAAACAGGTGTATCTGTTCTCATTTACCTGCTAAATCCCAGCTGATGAGCGATGGCCAGCGCTTTGAAGCTCCTGTTGCCACTTTTGCAGTGAAACACGATGTTCTCGTCATCTTTCCCAGGAGCACTCACTTCAAATTTCTGCTGAAACTGCTCTGGGGAGAGCTTCAGAGAATCCTCCAGGCTGCCCACTGATATTCACACAAATACACACAAACAACGTGAAAGTTAAAACACATATAAAAACAGCTCTTTTCCCCGCACTTTATGCACGCGTTAACACTTACGCGGGATGTTGACGGCATCGGCAATGCGTCCAGCCTGGTACTCGTCTGGATTTCTCACATCAAACAGCTGAATGTTGTGGTTGGACAGCATGGACTTCAGCTGCGAGTAGGTCACCACTGAAGCTGAGGCTGGAAACATATAAGATTACAAACACTTGGGCATTAAGTACAACAAATGTCCTTTTACTGCCTATAAACTCACCATCCATTGAATTAACAGTAACCCGTGTTAATTAAGTGCTGGTCAATGTTGCTGTTTTCTGCTGTGAGGGTTAAACTAGAGCTTTCCCAACTGACAGACCTTTGTTGTCTGTTTGTAAGCAAAAACGCCATAGTCAACCAAACTCTCTGTTTCGAACAATCCTGTGAAAAACACTGGATACACATTCTTCAGTCTATTCAGTGTGACAATGCTGGCGGCAGTGGTGGAAGAAGTACTCAAAGCTTTCACTTAAACCTACTGCAACAGTCTCAATTTAATACTAATGTCTCTATACGAGCTACAGCACACAGTACCATCAGCGAGAACATCGGCTATTTCTATATGGATTTTCTTTATTGCAGCCACAGTCAGTCGCTCATATTCAAGGTGGTGGAAACATTACCTTGTTGCTATTTTAAAGGTCCAGAGTGTAGGATTTAGTGACAGATTAAAAAACGCATCGCCTCGAAAGGCCCTATCTAGAGCAAGTG